AGAATCTGCCCCCTGAGTTTCAAAGGCATCTGCCTTTCATAAGGAAAAACCAACCTTCTGCTTCTGACTCATTTGCACAGAGAGTTTCAGATGCCTAAATTGAATGGACTGCTTGCTGTCCCTGGCTGTGAACAGGCTCTCTCTGCTGAAAACTGGAAACCAATGTGGTGAATGACATGAGTCCTGTTCAATGGTGCTATCTTCCCCTCCACAAAAGCACTCTTAGCATGAATAAAGGATGACCAAGTGAGACTGGAAATGTTTTGCTCACAGTTTCTAAAAGTTGATGATGATCAATGCATGAGCCTCTTGGAACGCAGGGAGTCCATGTCCCTCTTTCAACTTCCCTAATGTGAAATAAGTGGCAAGTATAACTTTATAAAGATGCAAATGTGAGAACGTGGAGCAGGTAACATTTTTCTCCTGCTGTTCAGATTGGGAGAATCAAATGGACTGATGTAGGCAGGGACTTGGTTGTTACCTAAATAGACCCACATCCTTCTCCAAAATATGATGTCAATCCTGCCCCCCCACTTTCCCACTTGTCCACTTGGACCATCATTGTCCCACCCAGGCCTTGAGAATCTCTCACCTGGATTATGTCTGCAGCCCCCAACTTGTTCCTCTGATTTTAATCTGGCCTCCACTAATTCATTTTTCTTCCAGACCACTGTCAAAATGCGATCCACCTATCACCTAAATCTATTATGTCATTCCCCTATTTCTAATCTTTTGAAATTTTTCTATCACCTACAGAATGAAGCCTATCTAAGACTCCCAGCACCTTCCTGCTGCTGCAGGCTCTGCCCCACATGGCCATGCCCCACACAGGACACTCTACCAACACGTTTCCCCTCCTCACACTCCACGTTCCCTCTGGCCCCTGTGCCTTGTCATGCTGTCCTCTCTACCTGAGGTGTTCTTCCCATTCTCTGGGCTGGCGTGACTACTGTTCATTCATTCAGATTCAACTCACATCCTACCTCCTCCAGAGATCCTTCTCAGCCCTCAGGGCAGAGAAGGGACCCACCGTTCTGTGGGCTGCCTCCTTCTGCAGGCCCAGCCCTCACTATATGGACTTGATTGCAGTCTACTAGTCTCGTTATGTGTCTTCTGGCCTGTGAGATGCTTGAACACATCAACTGTGACTTAGTTGTTGCTATGTTCTCACTCAAAGTTTAGCACCATATCTGTCCTATATTTGGTACCCTATAAATGCCTGATGAATGAATGAATGAGGCTGGAAAGACAAAATGAGCAAGAAGAAGGGCTTAGATTTTTACACAAGCTTTGTAAGGGTTATAGCAGGTCATATAAAGTTTATAGTAGGTTTTTTATAAGGCTGTTCAAGTTTTGTTAGAAGCATATATATTTATAAATAGGCAGAATAATTTTTAAAAAAACAATTGTTAGAGTTGAAAGAGACTTTAGAGAGCATCTAGTCCAACACTTTTCTTTTACAAACTGGGGAAACAGAAACTCAGAGAAGTTACGACCTGCCCAAGGCTCCATGGTAAGGTAATAATAACCTGTGAACAGGTCTATGTATAGTATTTATGGGGTCTACTGTATGACTCGAGGCCTGTATTATATATGCTTTAATATTTATGTTCAAGTAAAGAATCAGTATCATGATTCACAAGTGGTATACTGAGCCCTCTAAAAGTACAATTTTTTTTTTCGATTTTATTTATTTATTAGAGAGAGAGCAAGACAGGGAACACAAGCAGGGGGAGTGGGAGAGGGAGAAACAGACTTCCCACTGAGCAGGGAGCCCGATGCGGGGCTCGGTCCCAGGACCCTGGGATCATGACCTGAGCAGAAGGCAGACGCTTAACAACCGAGCCACCCAGCCGCCCTAGATGTACAATTTAAGAGTAATATCAAAGTGTCTCGTATTGTAAAATGTTCCGCAACCACCATCTGCAGCTACAGTGAACACCACACTAACTCCTGAGTATCTCTGGAACCACCAGTTGGAACCCAAAGAGGAGGAAGAAAATGGGAGCTCAGCACTACCAGGAAGTGACACTTGATTCTGCAATCTGAAAGGAAGGACTTGACAAATTAATTAATTTGTCTTTGTCTTTTTTTCTACCTAAGTGCTTCTGCTACCTATACCTTCCACATTCCATCTCTGACGTCAGCAGAGGCACAGCCCACCAGCCTGGATGGCATTTGGTCCGTTCTTTCGTCCTGAGGGACACAGAGCAAGAGAAGTGCAACAGTGTTTCTGTGGGGCCTGGGACCAGGGCTAATCATCAGGGTAGGCATAGTGGCTGTGTTGTACCAGCACCGAGCATCCATATGGTGCTTAATAAATACGTGTTTGTGGTACCAGGGCCAAGAGTCAGTATGTGCCACTGTCTAAGGGTCCAGGGCAAGAGTCCTGCTTTTAAGGACTCCCTTTATAGCAGTACTAAATTTGAAAGAAAATCATATACAGGAACTAACAAGCTTACCTGTCAAGCTCCCCATCAAAATATCCTGTGACAGTAATAAGGCAATAGTCTACTGGGGTCCTTAATACAGCATTTCTTCCATTCTTATGGCATTGCATTTAGGATCCAAGGTATAAAGGTCTAAGGGGGAAAGGCCAAGAAACTGGGAATTTGCAGTCTTGGATTGTTTTCTTAAATCTACTAATTACCTACTGGGTAACTTTGAGAAAACACAACCTGTTAATGGTTAGCCATTTCAGTTTCTCTACCCATAAAATAAGCCATAAATTATCTACACCCTTACAGAAGTACTGGGAGAATAAGTGCTCAGATGAAAGATATTGTATAAGGATAACATGGTCTTACAAATTTGAAAGCTGTTCTGACCTCCACTTAAATAGTTAGCATGATGTCAGGTTCACACAGAAAGAGTCTCCAACATAACTAGTCTTAGATGCAATAGTTTTCTTTGAGCTATTCAGAAGAAAAGTGTTCTCTAAATCCAATCTATTTTCTTGGGCAAAAAGTTTGTGTGTAACATGTAACTATCCTGTGAAAAGACTCCATAATGAAAACAAGACTGTTGCCTGGGAGTCTCCTCCCTTCGGTTTATATCCCATCTGTCATTACCTGCCCCTTTCTGAGCTGCCGGACACTCCTGTTCCTCTTTGGTTTGTTATAAACTGGACAAATAGAGTCTTTTGCCTTCCAGCGCCTCATTTAAGCTATTTTGAATCATTCAGTCTCCTAGAACAATCTGTGATTTGGATTATGGATATATCAAGTAAGAGAGACAAATGTGATTAAAAGCAGGTATTTTCCTGATTTAGATTAGGGACCAACTTCATCAGCTTGATTAAGGAGGCATTCAGGAACCCAAACCATCTAATCCTGTCTTGAGGCACGATGGGATCCCTGCTGCATGGCTGGAGCCATCTTAGAGAGAGTGCAAGCGGGGGCGAGGGGCAGAGGGAGAGGGAGAGGGAGAGGATCTCGAGCAGACTCCGAACTGAGCATGGAGCCCGACGCGGGGCTCGATCCCACAACCCTGAGACCACAACCTAAGCCAAAACCAAGAGTCAGACACTTAACCGACTCAGCCACCCAGGTGCCCTCCCTCACAAGGAATTCTATGCTTCAGAAGCAGAGAGAATATCCCCTCCCACCTATAAACAGCACTGAGCTGGTCTCTGGGGACTCAAGGACTCTGGAATCACCAGGCAGAGCACGGTTGGGATGTGGGCTTTGATGACCTGTAACTTCTTGAGGCCCTAATTGGAAAAACTATTCTAAGAAATAGGCGATTCCTGGGAGGTGGATGGTTCATTTGTGTTTCCCTTTATACACAGTAAGGAGGTTCTTCACCTTAAGAGAACCATCATGCCAGTGGTATGTGTTTTCCATTCTTTTTTTTTTTTTTAAAGATTTTATTTATTTATTTGAGAGAGAGAATGAGATAGAGAGAGCATGAGATGGGGGGAGGGTCAGAGGGAGAAGCAGACTCCCTTCTGAGCAGGGAGCCCGATGCGGGACTCGATTCCGGGATTCCAGGATCATGACCTAAGCCGAAGGCAGTCGCTTAACCAACTCAGCCACCCAGGCGCCCTGTGTTTTCCATTCTTGATCAGCCCACTGAACCATACCCTTCCTGTTCATGGTCATCTCTTCAGAACCTGTCTGGGCCTTGGCCATGAGAGTTGCTCAAAAAAATATTTGTTGAACAAATAAACAAATAGAATATAATTTCATCACTTCATCCAATTAAAAAAGTGATACCCTATTTACAAGACCTTCAGAAGAATTTTCCCACCCTAAATTTCCCAGAAATCCAAATGGACAAAATATTTCCATTTTAATTTTCAAATATAAGAAGAATGCAGTGACCACAGTTTATATTCTCCCTCCTATTTTCCTCAGGGCCTGCGTTGCTCATTTAAATGCAATTTGCTGCCTGTTTGGGTCAGTGACTTAAGTTGGGAGGCTCTTACAGTAACTCAGCACTGTGGAAATTCCAGACCTCTGCTGGGGTCTGAGAGAGAAGCCCAGGTTTGGCGGCTCTGAGGGCCACTGTAGGTAAGCACCAGGCAAGAGGGCTGGTCTACCTGGGCCAGCAGGTCTCCAGCCTCACCAGTTTGGTTTAGCATGGAATCAGTCAGCAATGCCTGAGAAAGCCAGGAGACCGGTCAGGATGATTAGGGAGGTTATAAACCAGAAAACTTCCGCCTTGGTATTTGAAAACCACACGGTATTTTACAACATTCCTGTCGATTAACTGCTGGGAAGGGCACTACCTTATTGCCTTTTGCATAATGGAACCAATCTTTCCCCTCAGAGGCCCTCTTGTTGCTTTGATCAAGTTCAAAAGATGAGGGAAATGATGACTAAGGACCTTGGGAATCAGACCGAAGAATCTCACAGACAAACTCAAGGGTTTTGCGGAGATGGCTGTTTGTTTGTTTGTTTGTTTGTTTTTTACTGGTGCATCATTTTGGTAAATAATTTCCATGGTCAGGGCACTTATCAAACTCCTTACCCAAATATTTGTTATTTAGAAAAAAATCAAGGAAACAGACTTGTGTTTATTATTCTGAGATCAGCAGCAGTTTGATGAACTAAAAACAGTCTTACTTTTTCCTCTCTCCTCTCCCTTTACCAGCCTCTTGTAAAAGTGCCAACATTATACACCCAACTCTCTACACAGTGAAAACGAAAAATAAAAGTGACCCTGGTGATCCGTTGGCTGCCTCTGCCCACGTTAGACTTTGGGCCGAGAGCCCACTCCCCTTTAGCATCAGAGGCAGATATTTGGAACCGGCTGAGCTGGAAAGGGATGCTGTAAACGTCTGTTTCCGGTTCACAGGGCCCTCAGCGTCACCGCATAGTTTGAACGTCTGACTAGCTTCCTGACTTTGAGAGGCTCCCACTTTAAACACGAGGGATCGACCCTGGAAAGGAAAGGAAAGACACGCACGAGTCAGCCACTGACTCCACCAGCCTTTACTCTCAGGCCGGTTTCTCCCGGCGGGATTTAAATGGAACGATTGCGACACGGACCGCGACTTCAGCTGCCGTCCCGAGGCAGGGTGACGGCGAGGTCGTGGGTCTGCTCACATGGTCCGAGTGGGGAAGGCCAGGTCTGGGCCGGTTCGCCACAAAAGAGCTTCCAGGAAAGCCCCCGTCCCCTCAGGGTGCCCGAAGAACGGAGCACAACAGACCCTTGAAACTCAGACAACCCTGGTAGGGCTGGCTCTCCTCGACACCGTCCTTCAGCGGCTCTATGGATATTTTACACGTGTGAAAGGAAAGCTTTGTTAGGGGCACAGATCTACACTCTTCCCCAAAGAGACAACCTTGCTACGTCATCATGAGGAGGGAACCAACGCATCCCAATGAATCCCTCTATTTTAAAATACAAGGATTTTATTAACCGATACCGAACGAAAACTCCAGGGCTGCAGTAACTTCAGCTTTGCACAGAGTTGCCACAGAGCTTAACATATATATTGAAACACTCACGCTGTCTTTAAAGCCTCTCTATTCTTGAACGTCCTCAATGGTAACAAATGCAATAGCAATTCTCACCTACCTGTAGAGGTCCTGCACCGATTGCTTCTATTCCTTTTATGATAAACTGAGCTGGCTGACAAACTGATTCTGCTCCGTCAAGGTATGACGGGTGGTTGCTAATTCCTGAGGGGAATGGGCTCCTGTTGGTCTGATCTGAAAGAGAGAGGCCAAAGAACCAAGTTTCCCAGAGGAAACACAGGCGTGGGGGCAGGTACCATGGTGGGGGGGGGGGGGGGGAGGGCAAGCGTTGGTTGGGGGAGGGTGGAACACTAGCCATGAATGACTGCTGGCATTTGCAGTTCATAAGTGAACATTTCATATTCATGAATAAAAAGTTTCATTGACCATTATGAAAGTTAGAATTCTGTGTTCAAAAGTAAAAATTTCAGCAAATAATTTCACTATACCTAGTGGAATCCTAGAGGCAGGAGCCCCCTTACCCCCCAAAATAGGAGAAGCCAAGCACTGCGGCCTTCTGCTGCCAGTCACAGGCGTCCCGCCAATGGAAGTCCAGAGGAGAGTGGGAGGAGAAAAGGCTTTTGTTTTCCTTTTCTTCAAGCATTACGAAACAACCAGTCCCTTAGGATTCCATTTAAGTCTCGCCGAACTACTTTCTCTCAGGAACTTTTGCCTTGAACCACTTTTAGGCACTGAACTAGTTCCTTCTTGCTGGAAGAACGTTATTGTATTGTCTGAAATAGTGCATGCTTCCTTCCAGAATGCCGGCGGAAAACCCCAATGATGCCCTTTCCCACTAAACTATTAGGATATCTCCTTCCAGTAAATGCAAAAAAGAAGAACACGCAACCATTACTAACTGGCAGGCTAGGAATGCTTTTTAAGTTGAAAAGTTACTTTTTTTTTAACTTAAAATTTCTACTACTCTAAGCTTTACGAATGCAGAGACCGTGCCATACATCTTTGTATCTCCACAATTTCCACTTCAGCGCACATAGTTGGAGATGAATTATGATTTTTTATGTGAAGGAAATTGACCTGCAAATTAAAAACCTTTTTCATACAGAACTTTGGCCAAGCAAAGGCCCATAATATCTGTAAATGTGATGGAGAAGCAATGAGGGTAGTTCTTGTCCCAGTGTAGTATGAAAATCTAGATTGAAAGTCTGTTTTACTTTTCACATTCTGTTTTAATGAAAAGAAGGAGGAATGTGAATAACAATTAACAATTCAAACAAAACTCATCTGAATTTGGCTTTGATTTTTGATAAATACCGCACCTCAGTAGTGACCATGATCCCCTTCTATTCATCTTCAACTTCAATCTTTGTCCACTTGATCAGATCCTGGCTGGAAAGAGGACCCAGAAGGTTCCAGATCCAGGGAAGATAATCTTCTGGAAAAAGAGGAGAGGTGGAAGAAGGTGCTAGAAGAGAGGACCCAGGCAGGAGTCATAGTTGAGGTTCATCTCTGCCACCGAATCACTTTGTGTCACTGAGAAATGTTTTTTCCCTTTTCATGCCTGAGGTTTCTTCTTGACAACTGAGATGAATGGATTAGATAATGTAAAAATTTCCTGCTGGGACTGGGATTGAACTTCACATGTAAATAAGAATTCATTGAACTTTGCATTGTTGTGGTATTATACTGAATATGGAGAGAGCTTATGAATTTAATAATAAAAACTAAAAATGGATAAATGGAGTCAAACAAAGAATTATCAAAAGTTCAAAGACATTTAGGGACAAAAATGGAAACAAAGTGAAACATTTACATACTTTTAATTCTAGTGCTTACCACTATTTCCTTCTGCAGCTTATTTAAATGCACATTTCAAAGTTAGAATAATTTTGAGTAAATCCCCTAGTTGGCTTGAATGTATGTAAATTTGATCTTGGTCATTTAAACTTGACACAATTCAGCAATTTTTGAAATCTGTATTATTCAAGAAATTGAGTAGTGTCATTTGCTTATTTGATGCGTTTTTTAAAAATGAGTCCTTTGAGAAACTGCTTCTGGGTATCAATACTAAAATGAAAACACTGGCTAAAATCATAAAAGCAGGAAAATTAATTTCAGGGCATTTTAAACTCCCCCTGTTTCCTGGGCTCACAGGGCTTCAGAAGTTGAGAATTGCTCTCTGATGTCACTGTTCTCTGAAAGCTGATCCATTCAAATCCAGATGGTGGACATCTTTGAATCACATACTGCTTACATTTTTCAGTGCCTCTGAAAAAGAATTTCCCCCTTTTAATCCTCAAAACAAAACTCAAATGAATTGTTTTACCCACCTGCAGCTTCCTCTGAGGAATATAACTCTTTGATTCAATCCATAATTTCCTCTATTCTCCAACCCCCAAATTATCCAATTTTAGTTTTAAATTCAAATTATTATTACTGTCACTGATTCTGAGCTGGAAAAACGGAGGGTGGTTTTTTGGGGATGCAGCACAGAGATGTTACACAAATGTAAGCCAGAAAATTTCTCATTTCTTTAATTCTCTACCACAAACTACAATTGTATTAATCTGACAGACTTTCAGTGTGGTTCTGGGGACTGCAAGTCCAGAAACTTTTGGCTCCTAAAAGCCTCTTTCAAAGGGAAAACTATCTGCTGAACAATAAAGTCCATACAGAGGAATGGAGTGTGGACCTCATTTGTTTGTGTCTCAGATAGAGGCAGGAGCCTAGAAGAAGACTCCGTGTAATACAGCCTTGCTGCCGGCTGAAGAAGTACACACACACAGAGCCCAAGAGCAAGGAAGGAACAACTGGTTGATATGTAGGCCTCTCCTGGCCTCTGGCTCTTCCCTTGCACCTGGTTTACACCCCCACATTCTATCATTGCACGGCTTCAACTGAACTGCAAGCTAAGCTTCCGTCCCATGCCAACACTCATTCCTGTTTCTAAGTATCTTTCCTACTTGTACACATCCCTATTTCGTGTCTTTGTATTGTAAGGACATATACCATTGTGGAATTTTTAGACTGAAAATAAGACATGGTTCTAACATACATAATGTCACCATGTACTTATGAGTTATTAATTCAGACCCTGTTCCTTCTGTGGGAAGAACGCACCATTGGCACCTCAGGCCAATTCCTATATATCCTATAAGACCTGGTTACTCTTCAGATGCTCTGTGAAGCCTCTCTGACGGTCCCCCTCTTCTGCGCTTCCCAAGCATCCTGAGTGACCTCTATCATAGTTTAGAATAGACTGTTATGGGCTTAATTGTGTCCTTCCCCCTCCCCCACAAATTCATATGTTGAAGTCCCAATCTCCAGTACCTTGAAAACAAGGTCTTTAAAGAGGTGGTTAAGTTAAAATGCGGACATTGAGGGGAGGCCCTAATCCAACATGACTGGTGTCCACATGAGAAGAGGAGAAAAACCAGAAATACATGTACACAGAGGAGGGGCCATGTGAGGACACAGCAAGAAGGTGCCGTCTGCAAACCAAGGAGGGAGGCCTCAGGAAAAGGCAAGCCTGCTGACAACCTGATCTTGGACATCTAGCCCCTGGAACTGTGAAAGATAAATTTTTGTTGTGTAAACCACCCAATCTGGGGTGTTACAGCAGCCCGAGCAAGATAATACACTGTCCTACAAATTATTGCCTTATCCATCTCTACTTCTGGATTGTGACTACTCTTAAAAGGGACTGTATTTCATCTGCCTAGTCACAGAACCTAGCAGAGTACCTGACATACATAAAAAAAAATATTTGTGGATTGAAGGAAGGAAGGAAGGATTTTTCTGACTCAATTTGATCATCAGCCTCTAGTCACTTAGTGTCTTATTTTCCTCCCTCTTTTTATTCATCTTCTCCCATCCTAATCCTAATGGCTTGAGTATGTGTCTCTATTTTGCACCTAAGTCTTTAACACAAGCAGATTGATTCCCAGTTTTCAGAGGTATCATGCAGGACATGAGCGATATCCAGAACCACTCCTCCCTCACTGGATGTACACATAGCAGTCGCGTGCTGTGGTTTCTCATCATGACAATATGCTGGGCCCAAAGATGCCAATTTACATGAGTCAGACAGTGAAACAATGGCATACATGCCCCTTTTCTAGAGTTAGGCTAGCAACTCCATCTCATAGAGGCTGAAACGGCTCCTGAGAAGAGCCGCTTCTGACTGCCAGTTCTGAAGTGATCAAAATAAGAGAGGAGATCGCTGGTACAGTGAGTGACCCAGGAAATGCTAAAAGGGTGGGAAGTTGGCTCAGCAGGGTTGGGAGCTGCCTCACATCCTGAAGTAATTATTCCAATAAAACACTCTTATGTCCAGATACATTTTTTTTTCTCAAATTATGGGATAACTACACGTAACAACTCAGAAAGATCACATTTGTGTGAATAAACCTGATTGTGCTTTGAAAGCACTTCCTTTCAGCGTCACACTGCTCCAGTCTCCTGGGCTCCAGTAAATTTTGAGGGAAGAATGGCAGGGCCAGAGTATTTACATGTCTATAAAGGCTGTATTTGTTTTTATATGTTCTTGCTGCTTGGCTCTGCAGTCTTGTTTAGAAACATTATGTTGAAAAAAAAAAAAGAAACAAATGTTAAATGGTATTTTATTTGAGTGAGGGTGCCTGATGAGTCCTCTTGTAAAAGAGTGGCCTGTCATGCAAGGGAACTCGGGCGGCCTTACTGCTCAGGACACTGGGTAGCAACATTTGTAGTGGATGCTGTTTGAACCTGATGCTTGGAGGAATGTTTTCTCCTGTAACAAGGTTTGTAATGGCAAATCATTTTATCCCCAGGTTATGTTTTGTTTTGTGCATGTGTATTATTTTTTTAAAGATTTATTTCTTATTTATTTGAAAGAGAGAGAGAGAGGGAGAGAGAGAGCACAAGAGTGAGGGGCAAAGGGAGGAGAAAGAATCTCAAGCAGATTCTGCGCTGAGCGGATCCTACGGCTGGGCTCCATCTCATGACTCTGAGATCATGAGCTGAGCCGAAACCAAGAGTCAGATGCTTAACCGACTGCCCACCCCCAGGTGCCGCGTGCATGTTTTTTAATTCCCGGTTTAAATGGAAAGTCTAGCAATTTTGTTCTTTTCTGTAAATAGGATGTTTCATTGTAACTGAGTACCTTGAACTTCGAGCTATACTGAAAAACTTTGGGCCAGTTTATTTTACTTTCCAAGGAAGTGTTGTAAGGTGAACTCTACATTTAAAAGAAGAAATCCTCTAAGATTTAGCCAAACCTGCCTTGAGGTGAGAAATCAAGAGCAAGGAGCTCATTTGTGACTTGAGATAATGATGAAGATCCTTCAGCAAATTCCCAGGACTGCCTTTTCTAGACACTCAACTAAGTAAACTCCATATTAAAAATGTCCATTGTAAAAAATAAATAAATGTCCATTGTGTGCAGGGTACAAGGTAAATGCCTTGAGAGCCATTAAGGATTAAAATCTTTTAAATGTTTCTGGTCCCCAAGACATTCACAGCAAAACTGGGGACAAAAATTTTAATCAGGATCAGGCTAAATAGAAATAAAACATTTCAGTAACAGATCTAAATTAAAAGAGATGGCAACTTCCAGAAGGCTGTCCATGGTTAATTACATGGTAATTATAAGCAAGCAGTGCTCTGAGACCCCAGCGCTCTCTCTAGGGTCTCATCTTCCCCTTAAATGGGAAGGCTTCTTCAGGACAGGCAGATGTAGGTAGGTCCAGGGGAGGCCAACAAACCTACCTCGTTGTCTCCAGATTATGAGGCCAGGCAGACCTGAGCTCAGCTCTACCTAGGACGACCTGGGACAAGTTCTTTTCTGCTCTGAATAGAGATGATAAACTTACCGTTTGAGTTGCTGTGAGGAGTAGATGAGCTCTGTGTAAGTAAATTCTTGGTGTAGACTCTCACACATATTAACATTTATGAGAGCAGAGATCATGTTATTTATCAATTTGTCTTTTAGTTTATTTTCTGTTTGCCCCACTCAGAAGTAAGCTCCTTGAGGGCAGGGACTTAGCATTGTTCTGTCCTTGGATCCACAGTATCTATATCACTATGCAACACATAATAGGTGCCTAGTACATATTTGTTGAATGAATAAATCAATGAATAATTAATAGAACTTCAAAAAAGTGGATTAGCTAATATTATTATTCAACCTTGTCTTTTTCATATTTCTTCTTGTCCCTCTTCATTGTCTTTAAACTTAGGAGCAACAAGAGATGTTGCAAGCAATAGGCTAAGTTCCATTTGAGTAGGATCGTTTGGAGTTTTAAAGTCCCTATGGGTTCAGGCTATTGGAACTTGCATTGTTCACTTCGAGAAGAGTAGACGATGCAGTGGGAAAATAAAGCTTTTCTTCCTGTATCTCCTTCCTCCATCAGCTCCTCCTCACTGGATCCTTATTATGTCTGTGCCCCTTGTGCCCTTCTCACCCATTAATATCCAAAAATAAAGAACAGAGACAAATTGTGGGGAGGAAACAAATATTTTTTCACATAGACCTTCCAACTCCCATGGAGAGAGAGTTGGAATGTAACTTCCCCTTTCTCCAGCCCACCTCAGTGCCCATTTTTAAGTCCAGGAAGACTTAGTTAGCCGAAGCCTACCAAATGAAGCATGACTGTTAGAAAAATGTTGTGTTTGCCGTGACACTAAGCAGGAATGAGCTTCTAGTGTGAGATCACTTGGCTTTGTGCAAAAGTCCCTGTCACTGCCACCAGAGACAGACTTATTTTGACCTAATTTTCAGTTCTGTTATGATTTTGTAGGCTAAAATTAAATTTGGTTTAAGAACACTGACCAGGGTTTATATCACTAGCGGGAGGGAAGGAATCAACATTTTATCATCTTGTGTTGGTGTGGGACCAACTGGAGCGCCTCATTAAAATCTTATTTGCAGGAAACGGACTCATTTACAGCTCCCCACTCGGTAGTATGTTTGTTAATAGTGCAGAAGGGAGGTAAAATGAGTCACAAAAGGTCAGCTCTGGATCGAGTAAATTTCCTCCCCGACTGCAGATTGCTGACACCTCATTGTGTTTTCCGTGTGTGACACAAAACTTCAATCCATGTACAGTGTAACCTCTTAGATAAAATCCAGTCCCCAGACCTGCAAGACCCATTATTGCCTAAGAAAAGCCAAAATTACTGACTGTTTTCCTTTCTTCTGACTTAAAATGCACGTCATCAACCACGTAAAGGAAAAAGAACAACGTGCAAAGTATTCTCTGGGGTTTCTCACCCATTCTAAGATATTC